TTCTGCTAGCAGCATTGTAGCGCACAGTTCCAAGCGGGGTAAACTCAGTTCTTTCTTAGGCGCCACACGGGACTTGGCACACACCAACGATGACACTGCTTCTCGAGAGGAGCGGGTAACCATGTAAATGCAAGCGCCGTAAGCCCTCGAGCTAGCATCTGCAAAGGCATGGATTTCAGAAGTAGCGTTAATTGGAACGTACCTTGGAATCTGAATGTTGTCGATCCGATTTAGTTGTTGATGGAAGTTACGCCATTGAGTGTAGACATCTTGTGGCACGCTTTCATCCCAGTCTAGTTTAAGCTCCCACAATTGTTGCATCAGTAGTTTGCACGAGACGATAAGAGGGTTGAGAAGACCAAGCGGATCAAAAAAAGCTGGCTATTTGCGACAATATGGACCTCTTGGTTGCCTTCGACTGCGACGAACGATTGTTGTAGCTGAAGATAAAAATATCTTCTACTGGTGACCATTTTAACCCAAGAGTTTTCACGTATTCGGAATCGCCCAGTTTTACGCTCTTTTCCCTGTCTTCTTGGGGTACGTCCTCTATGACGTGCATATGGTTCGACGCAAATTTGCGTAGCGGGAAACCACCACTGCTGAGGAGCGACGTGACTTGTTGTTTTATGGCGATAACTTCGTTGACCGTTGACGCACCAGTCATTAAGTTGTCGACATAAAAGTCCTTCAGTGTGACGGCAGCCCCAATTGGAAAGCGGGAAGACTCATCTCTGGCAAGTTGAAGTAGGCATTTAGTCGCCAGGTATGGCGCGCAGCTGGTGCCATAAGTTACCGTTTGAAGTTTGTACACCTTCGGTTGGATTTCGGGTGAGCTTCTCCACACTATGCACTGCCAAGGCGTATCAGCTTCGTGCACTAGTACCTGACGGTACATCTTGGCGATGTCGGCCATGAGCACATATTTATGACTACGAAAGCGAATTAGTATGGTAAAGATGTCGTCCTGCAGAGTGGGACCAACACGAAGTATTTCGTTTAAGCTCTTTCCCGACGTTGTACGGCACGATGCATCAAAGACGACGCGAAACTTCGTGGTGCTACTGTCTGCTCTCATCACACAGTGATGCGGAATGAAGTAGCGCCCTTTCGTGTTGCTCTCAAGTTCAGTCATGTGTTTCATGGACTCGTACTCACCCATGAAGTCAGAATATTGCTTCAACAACGACGGACTGCGTGCGAATTTATACTCTAGACCGAGCAACCTTTTAAGGGCAGTCTCGTATGAATGGCCTAGCGTCTGTGGATCTTCCTTTAATGGCAAGCGCACGATGAATTTATTGGTGACAGGGCATCGTGTGGTTGTGGCTTCGAAAAAACTTCTCGCAGGCCCTTTCTTCCGCTGACAAAAACCTTGAAGACTCGTTGTAGCTTTCGAGAGTCCAGAATTTTTCGAGCAGATGATCAAGTTGAGGATGATTGCAAACAGCTATGAATGATTTGTACAACGAAAACGGTAACGACGAGGCTGTATGCAATGATGATGGTGACGAAGACGATAATGGCGGGGCTATTCCAGACACAATCCATCCCAGCTTAGTTTTTTTGGAGTACAGAAGAGGTGTTGGGAAGCTTGATCTGGCCCACCAGCAAAAGGTCGAAAAACATGCCTGCACCAATGAGGCAATCAATGCCACCAGGTTTGTGAAATGTGCTATCAGGTAGTGTGATGTTTCTTGGAAATTTCCATGAGTCGAAGTTTATGTGATTGGCTGGCTGATGTGACGTTATTGATGGCAGAATCATAGCTTCGATGCTCGTAGCAAAAGCGGTGTGAAGTGACTTCAGCTCTACAGAACACATCTGCTGAGTTTTTGTTGTAGCTGTGCCGATGCCTATTACCTCGATACTACGCTTGGAACGAGGTAGGCGAAGATGCTGCGCAATGTGTTCTGTTACGAAGTTTAGCTGCGAGCCCGAGTCTAGCAGAACACGAGCGATGACTGAGGAGCCCGCGGAATTGAGTAGCCGAACGAGGGCGGTGGCGAGAATGACTTCGCCTGTGCATTTGACGGCTTGAAGCGCTGTTTGTTTGCTGTCTGCATTTTTGTTGTTTGCTGACTTATCTTCGCCGTATGTCCTATGCAGTAAAGTATGGTGACTCACCTTGCAGTGCTGGCATCTACGAAGAGACGGGCATGCACTAGAGTAATGGTTCCTACCAAGGCAGTTAAGACATAAATGCAGCCGTTTTGCTCGAAGATATCGCTCGACAGGGTCCATCTTCATGAATGGCTCGCAGTTGAATGGACTGTGGTATGGGCTGGCATCGCATAGTACACATTTTGTTGTAGCTGCTGTGGTTACAAAGGCGTGCTGATTCTTCTTCGGTAGTGGTTTTTTAGTGGATAGAGTCTTGACACATTGAGTTGCCTCCAGTATGTTGAAAGTTTGGCAACGGCTTTCTAAGAATGTGGCGAGATCGGCCCATGTTGGCATCCGCAGTTGTGATGACTGAGAGGGATTCCACTTGGCGGATACCTCCTCTTCCCACCGTGTGAACGTGGGTGCATCTAGCTTTTTCGACACTATGTACAACAAAATTCCATCACCTATTTGCTGGGCTGTGGCCAATGACTGCATTGCGCGAAGATTTACGTTAACGATGTCGATGAAATTACGAAGGGCTGGTACTGTCGCTGACGATAGTGGTGGGATGTCACAAATCTGCTGCATGTGCG